TTTTTTAACCATGTGTTTCCTCCGTAAAGCTTTCTTTACTTTAAACCACAAGCACACCGCCCAGGCAAATTTGAGAACCGAAAATGAGTCATTCCGGAAAGTTCAGATGAACAGTCCTACTGGACCGAAACAGCTGGCGACACCAAGGGAATCCAAAAGGGGAAAAAAAATGTGTCGCGCTGGCGTTTCCGCAAAGCGTAGTGCTCGGGGGAATCCACCTCCGCAAACAGAGGCTCGGATGTCCTCGTGGTTTAAACCGCCAGTACTTGGGCCCCTACATCAACCACGGGCCTTTGTCGTACATATACGCGGCCGCGTTAAATGGGCTCTGGGGCTACCAGACCACAGTCATACAAACAAACAAAAAAAATGTCTTGGCACGCAGGGCGTTTCCAGCATCAGAGAAAAGAGGCTTGGACGTACTGGTCGTTTAACATGAACTTCACAAAGTCCCTTTTGGCTCTAGATTTGGGTTCACGATCACCACCCACAGTTTTTTTTTTTTTTTAAATTCAAAAACTTGTTTTGTTTTTGTCTCCTTTGTAAAGTACTGAAGTTTATAAAGTACTAAAGTTTATGTTTTTTAGCTTTTCAGCTATGTTAAGCCGTCGCCTGGCCAGGCACGCTCGGGCCAGTTGGGCAGAGGGGGGGTCGCCCGACAAAACCAGACAGGTTAAAAACGAGGCAAAGATCCCCCCCAAAAAAAAACAAAAAGACTTCAGGCCAGGACTGCGCTTGGCCTAGGCAGTCGAAGAATACATAAGCTGCTCACCCTCCTTTTCTCACTCTTTCGCCTGTTCATCTTCCAGAGAGACGACACCAGGAAGAGGAATAAAGGCACATGAGAAGTCGAAGAAAACATAAGCCGCTCACCCTCCTTTGTTTGTTTGTCCTTTCTCTGTTTTTTTTTGGCTTTTTTATCATTTCAGCTCCTCTGAGATATTCATCCCTTTTTAAAAGTTTTTTAAAAGGATATAATATAATAAAAATACGGAGAATACAGACACGGCCCCTGTGCACGGAATATGAGCGAGAGCCATAGACAGAAATCCAAGTTGCAAAATCACCAAGTAGCCCAGATAGTCATGTACCAAGCAGAGAGCATAATGCACCAAGATTCCATCCAAATGAGAGCAATACAATGAACTCGAGTGCCAATGCCGATACTCCCTGGCCACACCAACACTGTATCCAATGTCGATCCTACTGTCTGGCGCCCAGCGCCCGGCCTACACTACTCAGCCTATCTATCCTATCTACGTTCATGCAACTGGATCATATTGAAGTTGAAGACCAATGTACGTGACGTCATCACCAATGCCGACTGCCAGCATACACCAGGTACGATCTCTTTTTTCCCCTCATCACACCTTGATCCCCTCTGCGTGCGCCTCCTACCCGAAGACCACCATCGCCGTCACCTGCACCCGCATGTGCTGCCCGGTCATGGCTGCCGCGCGCCCACTGCCACCGCAGTGCCCTCTCACCTCTCAGGGCCCGTATGCGCCCCAGCCTGCCAGCGCTAAGCAGCGCTTCATCCGACAACGCAGCAGCGTGGCCGCATTGCCTTGGCAGGCCAGAATGCCGTGCCCAGGGGGCACACACTTTCCTTTATGGAAAAGTGTGCCCGCTGCTGGCTTGCCTGTCCCGGCGTGTGGGGGGCCAGTAGCTTCAATCTGGCCCCAAGTGTCTGCGCCAACGCCCAGTTTCAGATACTGGCCTGGGCCCCGTGCAGTTAGGCACGTTCAGGCAGCCACTCAGCCTCCAGATGTTCGCAGCATTCTCACTGGCTCACGGTGCATGTGTGACGACAATGCTGCTTTCTCATTGGCCCGCGGCCAGTCTGTGACGTGTCGGCCTCACACAGCGTGTACCCAGGGCACAACCACCTGAGCCCTGGGCTCAACTGTACTGCGCAGCCCTTTCTTCTGGAAAGAGCCTGAAGCCTCACGTTGCTCTGTAACCAACTGGCGTGCTGCAACTGTCTGATACCCCACATATGAAAAATGTCAAAAGTAGGCCTCACATGGATATTCAGCCCCGCCTTCACTTAGGGCGGGCACGAGGCTGCTGGGGGCCGCAGTCCAGAACACTTCCATGTCTGATAAGGGCACAGCGAGGGCTCATTCCTCGAAGGTGGCTTAACTGCATGATAAATCTCCTCCTCCTCCTCCTCCTCCAGCTCCTCCACGTAACATGGGGAACATACCCTTCTTCAACCTAATGATACATATGCGTAAATGTACATAAAAGATACATATATTATATTATATATAATCCTATTATTTACTTGTATAGTATACATAGTCAAACAGAGCTGCCAGTAAAACCGTAGGCAGAGAGGAAGAAGAGGACAACAAACGAGGGGCTGTGACAAACTGTTTCGTCGGAGTTTCACTAACTCATCAGGACGCTGAACCCGCAACAGTCTGCAGAATCCCCTAACTGATTACATTGTAACTTTGTACGTGATAATCCACCTTAACCCCGGCTGTGGTTAAGCATCGACGACTGCCCGACAACTGATACCCTGAGGTGGGCACCAACCACTGCCCTCAAGGTACCCGTGATGAAAATCAAAGCAGACTATCACTCACGCACACGAGATGGAAAACTCTACAGACTGTCGTATACAAACTCCAATGAAAGATCTGTCCTTTTTTACCAACAGTTCCCGTGGCAGAAAGGGAGAAAAGGACAAGAGATGGGGGTTGTGACAGACTGTTTCATTGGAGTTTCACCAATTCATCAGGACGTGCATATATAATACATATATATCGACAGTCTGTAGAGTTGTCCATCTGGTGTGGGTGAGTGATAGTCTGCTTTGACTTTTGCCACAGGTACCTTGAGGGCAGTGGTTGGTGCCCACCTCAGGGTATCAGTTGTCGGGGCAGTCGTTGATGCTTAACCACAGCCGGGGTTAAGGTGGATTATCACTGACAGTGTAATCAGTTAGGGGATTCTGCAGACTGTTGAGGGTTCAGCCTCCTGATGAGTCGGTGAAACTCCAGCGAAGCAGTTTGTCACAGCCCCTCCCTCGTTTGTTGTCCTCTTCTCCCTCTCCGCCTACGGTTTACCGGGCAACTATGTTTGACTATATACCGGGCAACTCTGTTTGACTATATATCGTCAAATAGAACTGCCCGGTAAACCGTAGGCAGAGAGGAAGAGGACAACAAACGAGGGGCTGTGACAAACTGTTTCGTCGGAGTTTCACCGACTCATCAGGAGGCTGAATATATATATATATTATGTATAATATATATTGTCACAAAATATCAGAGCGCAAATGCGGAAAAAAAGGAAAAAAAGAAAAAAAGAAAATTGAATTCAATTTTTTATCTTCTTCCTTATAACTCCCCCTGTTCAGAACCTCTTGCGTACAAGGCTGCCCACGTGGATGTAGGTTGAGCGGCTGCCCCCACCCCCGTGTGTCATATTGACCCACTTGCACACAGCCAAAGGGCAAAGAGGCAAAGAAAAGAGGAAGGGAACATCCAAATACAACAAAACAGGGAGAAACAAACATAAACCAATCATAGATGACAAGTCCCACATGCAAGCACCGCCCCCACCATCAGGGCCAAACAACGGGACAAGACCAACCAGGATTCAAAACACCCTTGCCTGCAAACAAACAATCCCAGATAACATACCTTTCGTGCGCGCCAGCTCCAAGAATCCTTTGCGATTGA